AAACAGTGTGTATCCAAAACTCTCTTGTATTATTTTTTTTTTTCCATATTCTTACCTCAATGTTATAATGTTGAGAACAAATTTATTGGCTCATTTAGTGGAAATATGTTTGGTCACATACAAAGTATAGATAATCAAAAGATATCCTAGCAATCACAATTTTCAAGGAATTATTAACAGATTTCTGTATAATCTGCGGATCTTTAACCAATTACCTGTTAAGGTCTTTAGTTTTTTTTTTTTTTTTTGGTTTTCTTTTTTCAATCTGATGTAGAATGAAACTTGCAAACTGTGATGCTCAAATTAATCCACTATTCATTTGTACACAAATTTTTGCTCCCTGATATGCGTGTTTTCTTCAGAGTGTCAGACAAGGAAAAGAACTATGACAAAAATCTGTTACTTCTAAATGAACGAATATCTAACAGCCCTCCGTTTTCACCACTAAGGGAACAACATTTGCGAGAGCTTAACGAAACTCATGAAAAAATCTGGATCCTCCACTTCTCACATATACCATGGTAATAAATCTACGTATGCCTTGTAATCTTGGTATGTGTTTCTTTTTGCTTTCCAGCAAGCATTGCGTAACTGAGCCGAACAACCAAGACACAAAAACATACGTTATAAGAATTCAAAATCCGTTCAACGTGATATTTCATTAAAATTCGAGATAAAAATTATGATTGTGTTTAACAATAATGAAAATTTAAGATATAATAAAATTTAAAAATCGGTCTAAATAGTATGCGCACTCGGGTCCTTAGTACTAAACTATTTCAAGGTTAGTGCGTAGATTGGTAAATTGATGTCCGGCCTTTTGGGCTCAATTGGGTGGTATGGCATACGCACTTAAAACCGTTAGCATACGAACTAATTGAGAATTTATCCCAGTAAACATCTAAGGAGAAATTGATTTTATTATGGGTATTTAATTGAGTGACCATAATTTACCCCACGTGACATCCAACTAAATGCTCGATGTCTCAAACCATTCGTCATGACATGTTATGACTAATAAAAGGCGATGTTGAATAATCACCCTTATTACGGTCGGCGTTGTCGTAGGCGTTGTCATAACTAATTTTTTTGATATTATGTACAATATTCGAATACGTCTTTTATGTAATGATGTGAAAAAGCAGGGTGCTTTGGAAAAACAAACATTTGTAGAATTACGAGCTACCCGGTAAAAATAAACAAAACGTCAGTTTAAATAGTTGAAGTAAAACGATTATTTGTTAAATTAAATATAGAAATATGTTAAGTGATGGCATTTTTATACCCTCCACCATGGGTAGGAGGGTATATTAACTTTGTCATTCCGTTTGTAACACCTCTAAATATTCGTCGTAGACCACATAAAGTATATATATTCATAATCAGCATAAAATTCTAAGACGATTTAGCGATGTCCGTCTGTCTGTCTGTCTGTCTGTCTGTCCGTCTGTCTGTCTGTTGAAATCACGATAGAGCCCACATTATTTGACGTAGACCTTTGAAATTTGGCACAAGTGTGTGTATTGTCCCTAGGATGGTTGGTATTGAAAATGAGATATATCGGTCCACGTTCTGGTATAGTCCCCATATAACGGTACCTCCCGATATTCGGTATTTTGATGATTTATGCCACATTTTTTCACGGATTTATCTGAAAATTGGTATTTGTAGGTCATGACGGGTCCCTGAGCGTGTGGCAAAACATTGCATGTATAGGTCCACGTTTTGGTATAGCCCCCATATAACGGTACCTACCGATATTCGATATTTTGATGATTTATGCCACATTTTTTCACGGATTTGTCTGAAAATTGGTATTTGTAGGTCACAACGGGTCCCTGAGCGTGTGGCAAAACATTGCATGTATAGGTCCACGTTCTGGTATAGTCCCCATATAACGGTACCTCCCGATATTCGGTATTTTGATGATTTATGCCACATTTTTTCACTGATTTGTGTAAAAGTTGGTATTTGTGGGTCATAATGGGTCCTAGTTCGTGTGGCGAAACATTGTAATTATAGGTCCACGTTTTGGTGTGGCCCCCATATAACGGTACCTCCCGATATTCGGCATTTTAATGTTTTTTGCCACATTTCTTCTAATGTTCTTTTACCCTAGGGTGGAGGGTATTAAAAGTTTGGCCCGGCCGAACTTAATGTTTTTTTACTTGTTTTATCTGAGGACGAATATGAAAATATTCAAAATGATTTAAACGTGAGGCGAAAAATACAATTCGAATACTGGCTGAAGGAAGTTATCAAAAGTGCGCTGGCAACGATTACCATGTCAGTTTATCACATTCGTCTGTTAGCAATGTGTATTGCATAATAAGCTGTGTACAAATTGGATTTCTTTTCCCACTACAGAAGAAGAGAAATATGAAATTAAGGAACAACACTGGACTTCCTGGTGTGATTTGAATTTGTAGTCGGCTTTCATCCAGGCCTCGCCTGTTCGAGCCCGCGGTCCTAGTATATTGAGTTTTGCACCAATTTTGTTTCAAGCCATTGCTGTAACCCCAAATCAATCCAATTTGGCTTCATTTGCAAGATCTGGATCATTTCGTAAAGTTGTTTCTTCGTTGTGACTTTAAATCTAAAAAAGCGAAATGTTAAAAGATGTACATACACATATATTTTTGTAATGTAAATACTTACTGCAGAGTCGTTAGAGATTTTGTTGCCGACAACAAACAAAAGTTCCTCCAAATTGACATTACAAAAGATTAATATACAAAAGGGATATCCTAGAACCGCCGGTTCGAACAGGGTGGCCTGGATGAAAGTCTTGGCCGACTACAAATTCAAATTGAGGAAGAAGCTAGTTCATAACAAGGCAGAATGTCGTGCTGCAGGTGGAGGGCCCTTTAAGCAGTTAACTTTAAGCGACACGGAGGAAGCAGCATCATCCTTGTTACAATTAGAGACAATTGTAAATGCAGGCGTCCAACACTTGGTGAACTGGAGACTGAGGAGGAACTGCTTGAAGGGTTTGAAATTAGTGAAGACAAAGAAAACTACAGTCGCTTCAATCAGACTGCACCGAAATATGCAATAGAAGCTGGTTGTGGTCATCCAGGATGTCTGTACGCTTCCCTCTGTAAGCACAAATAACCCGCATTATTTTTCGCCTCACGCTTAAATTATTTTGAATATACTCATCTTCATCCTCAGCTAAAAAAATGCCAGGAGTTGAAATATTTCAATATGTAATTAAACAAATAATCGTTTTACTTCAACCATTTTAACTGACGCTTTTATTTTTTAAACCGAGTAGCTCCTAAAATCAAAAAATGTTTATTAGCCCAGAGCACCCTGCTTTTTCATATCTATTACAAAAAAGACGTAGTCGAAAATTGTACATAATACCAAAAATTTCTAGTTACGACAACGCCAACCATAATAAGGGTAAATAACAACAATAGGCAAACAATTGCCAACCAAAAAGACACATGTAATGAAGACAAAGCGCAATCGCTACCTGTTTTTCCAATATATGAAAAAATACATTTCTTGTAACAAAGTATTTCTTGGCAAATACTAACATATTACAGGTACTTCTAATTAGCCCACACAAATTTTTCTCATTTCGTTTTTACTGACGAACCAATCCAAAATGCCAATCCTTATTAAAAACAATAATCCCCTGACCAAATTTCGTAATAAAAACACTGTTCGGTTTTTCTAATTTTGATTATACTTTCATACTTTTTGCCTCCGGTACTGAGGTGTAAATGAAAATGAGTGCTACTTTAATTCACGTAAACAACATTATATACTTTCATTGTTCTATTCTGTCCATATTCTGTTATTGAATGAGAGTCATATCTCTGCCCACTTACTTTAATCTTAATAGAACATATTTAGAAAATAGGCAAACAATATTTACGTATTATTTTATGTCCACAAATTTATGATAGACACCAATAAATTGGGATTGTAAAGTGTATTTTCCATTTTTTCTAGTCATTTGTTGATGTTTATGCATATTTTGTTATTGAATGAGAGTCATATCTGCCCCCATCTAATAATAATAAGAATAATTTAATACAATAATAATTATTAGTTTGGTACTCAATTTTACATTTATGCTGTGTTTGTTACTTCAAAATTACAGTACACACAAAAGCACATCCTCGCCGTCGAAAGTAACAAACACACACACACTCTCAATTTAAGCACACGTACACATATGACACACAAATATGACGACGACATGGTTCGATGTCATCGTCGACACCCTGCATTTATGGAGAACGCAATGCAAATATTCGAGTCAGCCATGCCACTATCGAACCTTAGACAATGGTACACATGCATCAAAATGGGGAATGTTGTTGGTTGTCATTGCCTATCAAATATATAGCTCATGATTGAGTAAAATTATATAATATTTAATTCATATAATTCGCATTGTTCTAACCTTATGTATTGTATGATGTACATCGAAACTTCTTAAGACTATTCTTCCGAATTCGGTCGGTAAGAAAGTCGGCAAAAAATCAGAAATGCGCACGAGATTGTAGAGACTCCGATTTCGAGATCGTCCGACAACTCCAATTTCCATTTCGAATTACCCATGGAATTCAGACTTTCATCCGACCCTTCGGTCCGACAACACGTCAACCACTTTTTTTTGGAAATTTGAAGTTTCATTCGATACTTGGTTCGCTGGGAGGTGTGACTAAATTTAGAATTAATTTTAAAAGTCAGATGCTGTCTATGAAATATAAATATAATATATAAACGTATATCATATGTTGCAATATATATATATATATATATATATATATATATATATATATATATATATATATATATATATATATATATATATATATACACGAAATTCTTCGCTCTGGCATCCCTAATTCTATTTCATAAGTTTCGAGTTAACCATAAGCTTTGCTTGTGTTTGTGTCGCTCAATTACTCAAAATGTCCGTTTGTGTCTTATCTGTGGCTTTTCAATTTTCCTTCTTCCTAATAAATTTACTTGTAAACCAACCTACAATCACAACTGTTGTTATTGGTAAGCGTCCTTCAAATTTTCCAATTTGAATAAATTAAGAACCATAATTGTTCTTTTTCCAAACCCAAAACTCATCCAATTGTTTTATTCCTTTCTTTCCATTTTTTTCGATTCAAAACCGAGAGGAAAATATTTCTTACTCCAAGGAATATTTTCTGTCCACCAACAGCAGCATAACAATCCAGCATTTTCCAGGAAAATACCCACAAATTTAGCATTTTCATTTGGTCCACTTCGAACCGGATTTTATTGCTGTTTAAATTTCCATGTTTTACATCGAGTTTCATCAAAAATCAAGGTCAGTTCGCATAAGTGCATTAAAAGAAAGAAATTAAATTTCAGTGCGTTAGTCAAAGTATGTTTTGCCGTCGGCAATTCGATTTTATATTTTCTATCTAACGCACAGTGTTTCTATTTACATTTCGAAAAGTATTCATTTTTTCGGTATACTTTCGAACCAATTCAAGTCCAATATTAAATATTCCTTTAAATCTCCATATTTTTCTTAGATTCCTTTAATAAATAAAGTGAATAGATATTTCATTTATTACTTTATTATTTACAGCCAGTTCCACGATATCGAAAGAACACGTTCGCACAACTTTTACACGACAAACAGCTGTTTTCCGTTCCACTAAAATCCATCAGAACGAAAATTTGCACGAAAATCAAAGCGAACGAAAACGTAAGCATTTCAGTGTAATTTTGCGTTCCACTATCTTTTTTCTTTCGTACGCATGCGAACACAAATGTCAAAATCAGTCACTTGTGTGTTTGCTATCGTATAATAACAATTAAGGAAAATTGTTTTAACATAAACATTGCTTGATTGAAAATGGAAACAAAAATGTAAGTAAAAATAATAAATGCAATTTAATATGTGAAAAACAAATATATATTTTTTTTATTTTCTCAATTCCAGCACGAAAAAATCATCAACTACACAGCTGCGGGCACTAGTTGAGTATATGGAGGAGAATCCTGTGTTCGCCAGAGGAGTGCCAATTTTTGGAAGCAGCAGAAGAAGTTTTAAATCGGGGCGGATTTGGGTAGTTCTGCAACCGGGCACCCACATCTCTTCCATCATATCCAAAAGAGCCCGAAAACTTCCTTCGACACACCAAAATTGGACACAAACCTAGAAAAAATCATTTTTTATTATTTCAAAAATGTAAAAATACAATCATACTTACTGGTTGTTAGGTACTTCAAATAAATTCGAAGCATCTCTTAAATGCCTCCGTGGCACATTTTGAACCTCCTTCACATCATCCATAAAAAATAGGACTACGGAAATATTCTTTTTTTTATTTTCTAAGAGCACAAATGGTTTGAACACAATCACTAGAAATTTTATTTTGTTTGTTTATTTACAATTTGTTTGTTTACAACTGAAATGTCAGTTAAGACAGAGCCACTGCTGCTTTTTCGCGTTTAAATTAGACATTTGGCGCTTTTTTTGCCTTATTTCGAGATTAATTTTTCCAAAAAAATATTTAGCAACACTGAATCACGTAAGGCTATGCGAAAGAAAGAACGAAAGTTAGTGGAACGCATTCTTATACGAAAGTGAGTGAGTAACCTTCGTTCGCACAAATTTTCTTTCGAGATCGTGGAACAGGCTGTTAATTTTCTTATTCCACGTATTTCTTAACACGCGACAGTGTGTTTCCTTTTTCATTTTTGTTTTGCCGCGAAAATATTGCATTTTTTCTATTATCCATCGTCATTTTTTTTTTCATTATTATTGTTGTTGTCGTAAAAGAACCCTCGCTGAATCTCTTCAACAACATCAATACTTACATACAGTCACACACATTTCCACTTGTTGTCGAGTCGTTCGTTCTCAGCCTCATCCAACACGTTGATTCTCAAATGGCGATTTTTCGAATATGTGTTCAACGGTGTTATCCAGAAAATGTACCGTCAGATCCTGGTTCATTCCGATCATATCCATTCCAAAGAATAGTCTTCCGCAAACACCCAGGTGATATCATTCAAGATTTTGAGCTACAAACTGTCACATTTGGTGTCAATTGTGTTCCGTATTTAGCTATCCGCACTCTGCTTCGGCTAGCTGATGACGTCCAAAGTAGCCATCCAAAGGCTAGCATGATTATTCGTAATTATATGTACGTGGATGATGTACTTTCCGGTGCACATTCAATTTCCGATGCTCTTCAATCCAGAAATGAGCTTTAAACCGCTCTAGCATCAGCTGGCTTCTCCCTCCGAAAATGGACAGCGAACTCAATGGATATTCTAGCGGATATTCCAAAAGATCATTTGTTGTGTGATGATTTCGTAAACTTCGATGACTGTAGTACAGCCTATACGCTAGGGATCCGTTGGAATGCTCGTTCAGATTCATTTTTCTTTGCGACAACGCCTTTTCCATCTTCGTGTACTTACACAAAAAGGGAGATTCTGCCATGTATTGTTGTGGCTAAAATAATAATGCAGCAGATATGGTCCGATGGTACTGGTTGGGACGAAGTCCTAAGTCCACCCACCTTGCACCAATGGAAGATGTTTCAATCCGACTATTCCAGTCTTGATCGAGTAAAAATTCCGAGATGGCTTAAATATGTTCCGTCTGCTGAAGTTCAGTTTCATGGGTTTTGCGATGCTTCTGAAAAGGCATACGCAGCCACTTTATACTGGCGGTAATGATCGACGTACTACTCCCAACGCTCGATATTCCCAATTACTTCGTATTCTGCTGGTCAGTCTCCACAATAGCTCTTTCCTGGCTTTCAAAACCTCCTTCTCATTGGTTATCATTCGTAGCCAACAGAGTTTCCACTGTTATTCAAGTGGTGGATCCTTCCAGATTCCATCACGTTCCGTCCGAATCAAACCCTGCTGATCTGGCAAGCCGCGGTCTGTTACCCCGAGGCATCATTCGCAATGATCTCTGGTGATTTAGACCTTTATGGCTTCGGGAATCCTCAAGTCAGTGGCCAAACTGTGGTCGTATTCAAGAAACATGAGTCCAACGTAAACCCCTGAAGGTCCACTTTTCATACTTCGAAGATTCCACCGATATTCTTGAAGACTTTTATTCATATTCTCGTCCGCTTAGAGTGTTTGCCTACATTCATCGGTTCTTTCGCCAAACACACCCACGACTTCGCTATAATTTCCTCCACAAGACTCTGCTTGTTTCCAGTGTGGCCCGAAATTAATTGGTCAAATGGTACCAGAAGTTTCATTTCCCTAATGAGTACAAGGCATTATCTTGCAAGCAGCAAGTTTCACCATCAAGTTCCATTTTAAGTCTAAAACGCCCAATCATCCTTCCATACAGCTGCAAATTTGCCCGGCTTTATGTTGATTTTGTTCATAAAATCACTATCCATGGTGGAAATCAATTAACTTTTCGAGTAATAAGATCCCAGTATTGGATTCCTAAAGTCAAGAACCACATTAAAGACTCGATTCATAAATGCAAGCCTTGTATCCCTTATAAAAAGCGCTGACAGAAACAGATAATGGCTGCTCTTCCTCCTTAACGTACAGAGCTTATTGCAGACGCACATGCCGTATAACAAATGGATACGTATGTATATTCGTATGTTTTTCCAATAAAGCAATACATCTCAAAGCAACGTCCTATCTTTCCAATTCCACCTTCTTGGCAGCATTTCATAGATTCGTCTCTAGATGAGGATGTCCTGAACATCTTAATTCCCATAATGGTACAACGTTTGTGGAAGCGTCCAAGGTCCTGGCGAAAGAGTTTATTCAAGCTACTCGTTCCGCTGTTATTTCCAATTATTCCGTGCAAAATCTTAGCTGGCACTTCATTCCGCCTGGGGCTCCTCATATGGGAGGGCTCTGGGAAGCCGGGGTTAAAAGTTTCAAAACCCATTTCAAAAAGTTTGCGGGCTCATTCAAGTTTACGTTCGAAGAATTTCTAACGCTTTTTATGATGATAATCTTCTGCCAAATTCCTGACGCCTTGGTAGGGTTTGCAAGGCTTATCAAGGTTCCGATCGTCATATCCGTGTTGCAGATATTGTAACTCAAAAAGGGGTTATTACTCGCCCTATCACTAAGCTTGTCGTCCTTCCTAGCCACTAACTTAATACTTTATTTTTTCCCTTCTGTGTCCTTTTGTCCGCATTCTATTTAGAACCATGCCCAAACATTCCGCACCAAAGTTCAGCGCAACCACAACAAAGCCCCATACCAAAATGGGAAGTTCTTATGCCGGCTCTGCCAGCGTCCCCATTCATTACGTCGATGCCTGGATATAGACATGACGGAACGATTCGAAGTGGTTCGCAAACACAAATATTGTGTGAATTGTTTGGCCCTGGACCATTCCCACGGTTCGTGTTTCAGTGACACCGGCTGTCGCCACTGTCACAAATACCACCGCACACTGCTCCACGTAGAACCTATGCTGCGGGCCCAGATCCTTCCACCATCTCCTAGGTCCCGATCGGAGTCTAGGTCGGTTTCACCACGACCATCAACATCCAAAGCTCGGCGAGTACCACAGAGGCCTTCATCGTCCTCAGAGTCCTCCCGCAACCCGAAGAGATCTCTCACATCCCTGATCCAGCAAAATCGGACCATTTTGCTACCCACGGTCCTGGTAAGGATAGATGCGAAGAATGTGGCTCGATGTCTCTTGGATTCTGCTTCGCCAGTGAGCCGCGTCTCGAAGAACTTCGTGGAAAAAATTAAAGTCAACACCTTGACATTGAGAAAGGAGACAGTGTTCCAATTGACTCTGTTCTCAAGATTTGATTCGAAGGTAAAAATCGAAGGTACTTTTCGCGTGGATAATCGGATCACCACAAAGACGACAGCCGAGTCCCTGCCCGACAACTTCAAAAAAAATTTCCCCCACCTATTCTTGGTGGATCCGAAATTTTACCAGTCATCGGGGATAGATATCGTCATAGGCGTCGATATCTACCCGAAAGTAATTTCGGAGGGGGTGTATGCCAGGAATGGGTTACCAACTGCCCAAAGTACAGTTTTTGGTTGGGCCATCTATGGGCTATGTTCTTAGAATTGTTAATTCGTTCATTTTAAATTTATTGCCTGAGTATTAATTAATAAATTCCTGAATTCCTTAAAATGCACCATTGTCTTACTTCCCCCAAAAAGCACAAACTTTTCTTTTCAGCTTGTACATTCCGAAGCAGGTGCGAGTTCGTGATTCCATCTGGTCTGACGACAGAAACCTATGTATTTGATCATCATCTTTATAAAAATTATCCTATTATTAAGTTATTGCTTTTGTAACCAGACCAGGACATACACGGATCAGATTGCATATTTTCCATTGCAGACCCAACTGCAAGGGGCCGGTGATGTAAATACGAAATTTTTCGATCAAAATGTCCGTTTGTGTCCTATCTGCGGCTTTTCAATTTTCCTTCTTCCTAATAAATTTACTTGTATACCAACCTACAATCACAGTTTTTGTTATTTGTAAGCGTCGTTCAAATTTTCCGATTTGAATAAAAAAAGAACCATAATTGTTCTTTTTCCAAACCCAAAACTTTTCGATTTAAAACCGAGAGGAAAATATTTCTAACTCCAAGGAATATTTTAATATATATTTAGTAACAATCATATATAAAATATGTTTTTATCAAAATAAGTTATAAATAAATTTGCCTGGAATTATGAAACAATAGATATTAATTGCAATTTACACTTTATTTAATATATCCATGTTGAATGTGACAAATATGAAATTAGTTTGATACCATTACTCTAAATTCGACCGTCAGCAGAAATAATTGTTATTATAATTTTCCTCAAAATACTAAACTTGTATGTATGACAATTTCCCCAAAATAAGAATAAACGTTTAAAAATTGAATTCGTTACATTCGACGTATTTTGTTACGATTCCAACATATATGTTTAACTTTGGTTGCGGAAAGTTCAGTCCGACAGTCACATTTTTGGTAATGTTATTTATATTTTTTTTAAATCATTTAAATTATATTTAATTGAAGGTATTTATAGTAATCATTCAACCCGATAAGTCACCATGATCAAATAGAGATTGGTCATATAGTTCCGCAATAACTCTTCTTCCGCCGAAAAATCGCCCGTGAAGAGCTTCCTTGCCGCGCTCCGCTTCCGATGCCATAGAAAACTCGACAAATATTTTGACAATTATTTCTGCTTCATCATCGTCTTCATTTTCAGTTTGTTTTTCATTGAAAATAATTACGCGGCTTACTGTTCCAAATTTACTGCATTCCTCTTGAATTTCTTCTTGCAGGGTTTCATCGACGTCTTCAGGTCCAACCATATTGCGGAGAATTATAACCCGTGATTCTTGAGGTCTCATCAAGCGTTGCATTACGAATTGTCTTGCACTCTGTCCCTTAATAGACATGTTCTCTTGCTGCTGTAACGTCTGTGTTTCTCCTTCTTCGATAAGTTTTTTTTGTAACTCTTCTTGTTGCTTTTCTTGAGCTTTTTTCTGGTTGTCTGGTTGATTTGTTGCAGAGACAGCAGTTTTTGCTATTAAAGCGCCAACAACACTTGTCTGTGGTGGAGCTATGAGACCCTCAGTCGTCACAGTTCCAATCTTACCTACAACTGGTACAGACATACCAGAGGGATTTGCAATTATTGTTTTGTTAGCAGAATTAATAGCTTGTGCGGTTACAGCTTGTATAGTAGAAGCTGTGGCAGTTAACAAGCTAGGATTAACACTGGGATTTTGAAAAATGCTAGCCGCTAAGAACGCAGGCCCTGTTGTTGCCGGTAAAGCTATTGAAGGGTGAAAAGAGCTTGGAGCCGCTGCTAAAGGCAATGTTCCTACTTTGGTGTTACCAATTGAAGATATACCCAGGGCCGGTGTTGTAGCAGACAATCCAAGGACGGCGTTACTAGCCACAGCATCTAAAGCTTGGATTTTAGCAGTAGCCGCAGCAGCTGCAACTGCTGCTGCTGTTGGCATTGTAGAATTGGTAGCCGGGCTAACCAGCGCATTAGGGGGTGTAATTGAACGTCCCACCCTGTAAATACAATGACAATTTATACAAATGAATAAAAGAAATTTACAAAACACGTACCTTAACAGCTGTCCACCAAGGTCAAAAAGATTCATACTCGCAATTGCTTCGTCCATTGCTTGCTTATTGGCATATTCGATGAATCCGTATCCTTTATGTGTATGGAGTGATGTGCCTTGTGCAAGTTTGCAATACATTATAGGCCCAAAAGCTTCAAAAACACTTTTTATATCCTCTTCTGATAAGTCTGGATGTATAGATGCAACGTAAATTCGGTTAAAATTTTTAGCTTCCTCTTGTATTTCGTCGATAACTTGCTGAGCTTGAGGCATGTTACTTGGTCGTCCAACTTTTATATTGCGGCCACCCATAAGAGCGCCATTCATTTGTTCCAACGCAAGTTGTGCACCCTCCGGAATTTCGTATTCAACAAAAGCGAATCCTTTATGTTTCTGGGTTATCGGATCCCATGACATATTTATAGATTTAATTGGCCCAAATGGAAGAAATGCAGCTCGAATAGTGTCCTCCTTCAACTCGAATGATATGCTTCCGACATAAACCCTGAAATAAATACATGAAAACGTTGTTTTAAATACATTAAAAATAACTTGGTAGTAACATGCATGTTAAGTAAACTTTACGTTCTTACATTGCATGTTTAATGGCAAAAGTAGTAAAGGATTCAAATGTGAAATTCGGCCCGACAAAATAATTTTGTACAGAAAGAACAAGAACTGAAAACTACTAAAAATTTAAAAATTAGTAGACAATCCCTCAAAATTAACTCGATAGTTTCTACGAAGGTACAATAAGGACAAGGCAGGCTATGTTGAAAAATTTGCAACCTGTATGGATTATTACTATAATACTACTAATTACTATCAACATATGCAACACGTTGCTTTACATCCAATAAAAAATAACTTGCTGTATAGTTTTTAAAATAATAATAAAAAACCCGAAAACGGAATGACAAGTAAAAAAGCAGCTAAGTTCGGCCGGGTCGAACTTTTTATACCCTCCACCATTTGGAAGAAACTTGAAAAAAAAATCAAATGAAAACCGTTTATGGGGGCTATACGAAAACGTGGTCCTGCAAAAGTAATTTGTGTCGTAGACTGTAGTAACTGCTCCGAACTCTTGACCTATGTACACAATTCTCTTCTAGGGGATAAAGTACTGATAAGAAAGTTCTTATGAGAATTTTTAGACGATTTCATTGAAATATTTGGCTAAAATCATCAAAATACCAAATATAGGGGGTACCGTTATATGGAGTATATACTATATCGTGAACGTATATAGACAATTCTCTTTCAGGGGTTAAAGTACTCGCAAAAAACTCCTTGTGTAAAATTTCAGACAATTCCAATGAAAAATGTGGCTAAAATCATCAAAATACCGAATATTGGATGGTCTCGTTATATGGGGGCTATACGATATCGTGGACCGATATAGCCCATCTTCGAACTTGACCTGCCTGCAGACAAAAGACAGATCTGTGCAAAATTTTAGCTTCCTATATTAATTCGTTTTGCCTGTAGCGTGCTTACAACAGACGGACGGACGAACAGGTCTAAATCGTCTAAGAATTTTAAGCTGGAGTGTATAAAAATGTCTTTACAAAATCATGTTCCATATACTTGTGAAGACTTATTTTCCGCAAAAAGGGTAGATTTTGTGCACTCGAACGTTGTAAGAAGCATTTTCGTTACAACATAATTGTAAAGGATACTCACATACAACACTAACGTTGATATCGTAAGCCAAGAAAATAAATAAAACCAGTAAAAAAGCTGTCATTTCGGCCGGGTCGAACTTTGAATACCCATTTGGAACGAATGTGGCAATTCTCAAAAACAATAAATAATACCTTAAAAATACCGAGTGTAGGTATATTAGGGTCTATACGACGACATTACAATATTCAACTGCGAAACTTAAAAAATCGGTAATAATGTAGCTAAAATCATCAAAATACCGAATATCGGGATGTACCGTTATATGGGGGCTATACGAAGACGTGGACCTGCACAGACAATTTTTTGTCTTAGGCTGTAGTATCCATTACAAACTTCAAATACCAAATTTGAAACAATCCCGTTGAGTAATGGCGCTAAAATCATCAAAATACCGATTATAAGGAAGTGCTATTATATGGGGGCTATATGAAAACGTGGAGCTGCACAGACAATTTTCTGTCATAGGCTGTAGTATCCAAATTCCATATTTGAAACAATTCCGGTGAATAATGTCGCTAAAATCGTCAAAATACCAAATATCGGGAGGTACCGTTATATGGGGGCTGTACCAAAACGTGGACCTACATACAAAAATGCTTGTCATAGGCTGTAGTACCCATTACGAACAAAAATATGACATTTGAAACAATTTCGGTAAATAATGCTATACGAAAACGTGAACCGACATTGCCCATTTACGAGCTTAACCTACCTACTGGTAAACTATGCATGTATGCACAATTTTAGCCTTCTATCTCAATTCGTTCGAAAGATAGTGTAATTACAACAGACAGGCCGAAATAGATAGCGATATAGTCTTAGAATTTTACGCTGATCCAGAATATGTATACTTTGTAGGGTCTATTATTATTATTTCGAGGAGTTACATACGGAATGACAAAGTTAATATACCCTCCATAGAATGGTTGAGGGTATAAAAACAATTGTACATTGCAGAAAAACAAAATTAACAAAAAAGTAAAGGAGAGGAAAATAAGCTAAAAGATAAGCCTACCTATATTTCAACAATTTATTTACGAGCTCTATTTCTAAATGCTGGCAAAGGAACAAAGCTTTGACTAACACAATTTTTGCTTAAATAATTTTATTGACTTTTGACTGTTTACTAAAAATTCCATTTTAAATAGCGAATCAAACAAAAAGTTGATTATTGCGAGTTGCTGGCTTTTACTGGTAAACATTTTTCTAGAGATCTAACGAAGATCTAACGAAGTCATCCAGCTATTATTTTTTAATTTAGGGTCGAAAAGGAATTTAAAATCAGAGTGTATTTTTAAAATCTAGCATTTCTTTTTGAAGAACGGGATTTTAGTTGGTAATTTGATGTCAACCAAATAAAAATTAAATGGTTGTCCCATCAATTTTAATTTAAATGAAGGCGATAAATGAATTTAAAAAACAGCAGCTGTTTTCTTGGTAATTTTTACTGAAAGTAGGCTGTTTACCTCTTGTCTTATTTTCAATTGAGTAAATCATTTATTTAGAAAATTTCACTGAAAATATATGCAGACACATAAAAATAATGGGTAATGTGAGTAAAATCGTATTGTTCCATCGATTTCATAAAAAGTTTATATATTTACTAAAAAGAACAGTGTTGGCATGTTTGTTCGGGATACCATAGTATATTGTTGTTGCAAACTGGTCAGGCTTAATCCCATTATTGTTGTTTTTATAAAAACAACGTTTGTTTCTTTCTTTTTTACACTACTTTCACGTGAAAGAAACGAATTTCTCAGTACGCAAAATTTCGTAATTTTTAATGAATAATTTTATTGTACACTCCTATAACCCCTAGAAATGCATCTACTAAATATGCCTTTTATTTATCAATATTACATTTTTATTATGTTTTAAAGTAGTCATATCGAAAACGGAGGCCATTTTTTCTATTTAAATATTTTAAATATATGTTCTATTAATATGCGTTACCTGCTGTTTTTGGTCGGGGATTCAAAGGAGCATCTCATATTCAACTTTAAATGTGTTTTGAAACCTTTCAAAAAAGCAATAAGTACAGACGGGCCGAACTTTCAATACCCTCCACCATTTTGAAAGAAATTTGCAAATTAAAAAGAAAATCAAAAATACTACTAAAATCATAAAAATACCGACTGTAGGGATTAAAAGTTATATTGGGACCCTTACGAAGACGTGGACCTGTATATTAAATTTTTGTCATAAGCCGTAACGATATTCAAATACGAAACTTGAAACTTGAATAATGTCGCCGTTATATGGGAGCTATAAGAAGTAACAAGCGGAATGACAAAATTAATATATATTGTGGAGGATATAAAAATCAAACCAATAACAAAAGATTAGTTAGTTAATAATGGTTCCTTAGTCAATTTCATCGTGGCATCCTAACTTGCAATAAATCTGAAAATATTTATTTTATTCCAACAATTGGCTAAATGTACAAAATCAGCATACTGTTTATCTACAAGTGTCACAGAATGGACTGAAAATGAGAAACACATGTAAGTATAGTATATAGATCGCTTTATGGAATGGAATATAATAAGAAATTTAATTTTTACTTTTTTTACTCCAAATTTACTGTCAATAGGCAGCATGTGTTCCTATTATGTAATAAACAGCATAGCGTAGCACTGTCAATATAGTTTGTGTGACACTTTTCACCGGAATTGTTTCAAATTTCGTATTTGAAGTTCCTAATGGGTACTACCGCCTGCAACAGAAAATTGCCTATACACGTCTTCGCAAAGCCCTTATATAAAACTTATATACAGTGGTTTCTATTTACCTGCATCAACATTAGCTGCGCATTGGCCTTTGCAGACCAAAAAACTTTTGTTATGCCATTTTTTTCTGAATCCCTTTATTTGAATTGTATTTAAGTGCCCAATCGATAGCTGCACATTGGACATTCCTGCCTCGAAAATTTGGTATTTTTTTTAATTTGGTTACAAAAGTTGTATTTATCTGTACAAGAAAATTTTTTGCAAACTTAAAAAAGACACTAAAAACTACCACTTCGTTTTTGTTTTTGTATTCGCAAAAACAATAACAACACAAGAAAAGAGCATGCATTAAAAACATATTCTCGCTTCCTCTCCCACACTAAAAGATGGACCTGCATTTTTGGCATTGCTGCACAAGATGTCGTGCAATTTTTGATTGTGCAGGTAAGCAAAAAATACTGAACTTTATTCACCGAAATTGCATAAAATATCGTATTTGAAGTTCATAATGGGTAGTAAAGTTTATGACAGAAAATTGCATATACAGGTCCAGGTCTTCGTATAGCCCCAATATAACGGTACATCCTTATATTCGGTAATTTGATGAATTTAGCGACATTATTCACAAGAATTGCTTCAAGTTTCGTATTTGAATATCGTTATGGCCTATGATAAAAATATAATATACAATTCTACGTCTTCGTATAGGTCCCAATATAACGGTAAATCCTACCTACATTTGGTATTCTTACTATTTTAGCAGTATTTTTCTAATGTTTTTTTTTATTATTTGCAAATTCCTTCCAAATGGTGGAGGTATTCAAAGTTCGGCCCGGCTGAACTTAATGCTTTTTTACATGTTTGGGAGATTTCAAAACACATTTAAAGTTGAATATGAGATGCTCTTTTGAATCCCCGACCAAATACAGCAGAAAATGTTGTAATAAAAAAATAGTCTCCGTTTTCGCTATGACTATTTTCAAAAATAATAATTAGCCTTACATGTTAAAAAGTCGCCAGAACCTCAAAAGACTCATCGATTTGGAAAAAATTTAATATTAATAATTATTTAGTAGATACAAATTATGAT